TTCTGGCTTGTGCTCAGCTTGATGCCTGCTGGGGCCCTGGAGGCATCTGGGACACCCTCAGCCTATCACTGAAAGGGCTTCTGCCCTTCTTCCTGCATGTCATCAGGCTCCTGCCCAGCCTGTCTCAGTCCCTCAGGATGGCAGCCCTGCCCCAAGTGGTTCTCCCAGTTTGGTGTCATCCACAAACCTGCTGCCAGGGCATCCTGCTGCTGCCTCCAGGTCCTTGAGAAAGACGTCAGGGCATGTCCCAGGAGAGACCCCTGTGATACCTCCATAGACCATGATGCTGAGCCTGAACATCCAACCAGTCTTCTGTCCAGCTCTCTGGGCTGTGACATCTTAACTTGGGCACAAGAACATTGTGTGAGACAGTGTTGAAAGCTAAGGTCAAGGTGAAGAACCTCCACCACTCCTTCCCCTGTCTGCGAAGTCACATTGTTGTTGAAGGCAGGACCTACCCTCAGTACATCCATGCTGACTGGTCCCAGTCGCCTTCTCCTGCGGGTGCCCAAAAACATGCTCAGAGACTTCTGCCGTGGTTTTCCCAGGGACTGAGGTGACACCATCTGGCCTGTAGCATCTCAGATGGTCCTTTTGGCCTTGTTTGAAGCTGGATGCAACATCTGTCTTTCTCCAGTTATGGGGGAGATGTAAGAAGTGGTTATACCTCAAGTGACTTAATTTTAGCCAAACAAATCTGTTTCAATATGGGGATAACAGTGTTTAATGGGGATAACAGTGATCATTGCACCAGCTCCAGCTGTTCTCAAATCCTTGTCCTTGACACTGAGATCACGGTGCCAACACATGAGAAAAGACCTGCTCCTTACGCACCAGCACGGCGCCTGGTTACCTGATGTGGGTGAAGGGAGATGAATTCTCTGTCAGGCTTGGCTGTTTGATGGATTTACCTCCACTTGGACATCTAAACTTTTCCATGAAGCTCAGAAGAACATGGCCCATCCACGCTGTGGTTAGAAGGTGGAACGCGAGGCTGTGGCTGGTTACGTGGTGGCAAATGCTGCTTAGTTAAAACCCCAGGAGCAGAGCGAGGTGGGTGACCAGGTTATGGACATTCCAGTTTGTTTCCCACTCCCAGAGCAACCCAGAGACTGACCCCCCAGCTGGTGGGCAGGGCTGAGGACCACCAGGCTGCTCAGCAGAAACAGGGCATAGACATTTCCATTACACTTTCTCTAAGGTGCCTTTGTTCTAAACAAAAAAAAAATACCATAAAATCAGTATTTTAGGAGAGCTGGCAGGAATGAAGTGGTGCCACTCCAGGCTGGGCACAGCCACAACCATCTCGGGGCACGCCATGACCTTGGTTAGAAGGACCTCAGTGTGGTCATGAGGAGGATCAGGAGCACATTGGGGAGGTGCTGGTGGCCATCTCAGACAGGAAGAGTACTGGGACTGTTGTCTGGCGGTAAATTAAATGTATTGGTGTTTTAATATCCACGAGCACTGACAGGAACAGCTACATTTAAGCAGGTTTTCCTTCTGTAGCTAAAAGTTTCCGTTAAATTGTGTGAGCCCTCAATGTAAAGCGCAGGGAGATGAGGACTCACCATGTACCTGTTAATTCAGGTCATTCTGGGCAGTTCGCTGCAGAATTGCAAGAAGTAAACACACGAGGAGCACCTGAGCCTTCCTATTTTACTCTGGCAGGACCAGTTAGAACTGAAATGCTCTACTCTTTGTCTGGTCCTGCTCTTGAAAGGAATTATTAATGCATTTAATTACAGAAGGACGGAGGCCTACGAGCCATCCCACTCCTTTCTGCTAACGGAGGTCTCCCTCGCTGCAGCTTGAGCTCTGTTGTCCCTTCACTCCTGGGCAGGAGGACAGTCGTTGCCTTGGCTCTGTCTTCACGTGAAGATGTAGCACATGGCTCTTCTGCTCTGCCCAGACCATCAGCACTGAGGAGTAATTCCCTTCCTCCCCAGGTGGCTGTTAGCAGACTGTCCCAGTGTATTATTACCCTCTGCATTTGGTGGGTCAAACCAGCACATCTATGGGAGGGGAAGATGTTTTACAGCCAGGATGGTCGAGTCCCACAGCAGCCACCAGCAGCTCTTGGTCAGCAGTGAGACCAGAGGAGGGGCACAGACACCCCGGGCTGCAGCTGCATCGAGTTCTCTACACACCTGAAAATCATTTTTAATTGCAAGCAGCCTGCTTTTTGCCAAGACTGGTATCAAAGGGAGGGTGATTCCGGGCCGTCCAATACTCTCTGTTCATCACTTCTACCAAAGCACCACAAGGGAAAAGCCTCCACCACTCACAGCCTCAGGAATATTTCCCTGTATTAAAGCGGTTCCTCCAAAGATAAAATATTTGGTTTAAACAAGTGGTTGGAATCTTTTGATTTGCAGGTGCCTGTAGAATAAATGAAAACATCAGGCTTTTCTTAGCCCTCTTCTGTGGAGTGTATGAACAGCTTCCAACCTGGGCTGCTTCTGGATTAAGCTATTTGCTCTTTCTAGGGTTTAAGTTACAAACGTCAATTGCTTCCAGTAACTTAAAGAATCAAAGTAACACTGTAAGCACTATCCACTGTAACACCCTTTTCTGAGTCACCAAGAACGAGCATGTTTCTGCTTACTCAGTGCCACAAGGAGTGTGCTGGTGCACAGGAAATCACAGCAGCTTACTTAAAAAAAAAAAAAAGAAGAAAAAACCCAAACAAACCTCCAAAAGTTCCTTAAAGGTTCAGTTTTTATAAAACACTGACTTGTAAAAGTTTAAAGGGCACGTTGTCCTGTTGATGATGATGTAAAGTAACCAAAGAGCCTTGCTCTCAGGCTGCCTTTGTCTGATTCTCAACCCTGTTGTCTCCTTTCTGGACTAGTTTGGGGTTTCTTCCCCCCCTCCCAACTGGTTTTTTGAAGCTGTCACTCCACCCCCTTACCTGCCCAGACTTTGATGAGATGCCTAATGCCCTGTCGGGTGGCTGGTGGCCCTTCCCCAGGAAGGCTGTGAGTGTGTGGAGGAGGAGAGAGGAGCCGGAGGGACGGGCAGCAGCAGAGGCTGTGGATGCAGCAGTTTTCCTCTGACACAGGCACTGCACAAACCCAGCACCATCCCAGGCAGGGGATCTTCTGGTGTCCTGCTGAACTTCCAGGCGTTGCCATAGGGCTGGGGCTACGCAGTAGCTCAACGTAGAGCTGGGATGGGAGGGGTGAGCACACCCCCAACGCTGCCAGGAGCACCTCGCACCAACCCTGCCGGGATTGCCCCTCAGAAAGACTTTCCTTAGATCTTTCTTGCTTTTTGTGTCCAGCAACAGTCAACGGCATTAAAATGTATGTCCTGATCGCCAAACTTCCCACAAGGAGGTCAGAAAAGTACAGAAGAAAACCCTTCCTGTGGCGTCGTGCTGGAGCTGGGTTCTACCATGGGGTGGGTACAGATTGAACCCACGTGGACCAGGCATCACAGAACATCTCCCCTCTCACAGCTCGGCAGAGCCGGGGGTGCCAGCCCCACAGAAGGAGACAATACCCAGCCCGTACTCAGCAGGAGGAGAGCGCAGGTGCCACAAAGTGTTGTTTAAATGCCCCACTGCATTTGGCAATTAGACCCGACACCGTCTTTGGAGCCGTGTGATGAAGATTTAAGAGAACACTTCCACACAAAATCGGTTTCTCCCTCCTAATTGCCGCAGCTGTGAGTCAACAGCAGTGATGAATAATGAACCCTGGGTCCTCCTCCCCTGCACGTTTTGACTCCGTTCTCCACTGTCCTGTTCCCCCACCATTTCCCACCCTCTTGAGCAGTTTTATCAAAAGGAATCCGCACAAGCAGGTGTCACCCCTCACTTTCCTACCTCCCTTTTTCTGATGGGACCCCATCTCTGGGGCATCACCATCCTCCTGCTGATGCCCCAGCAGTCCCTGCACAAGGCTTTCACCCCCTCCCTGCTTTTGGCAGGGCCACCCTGGCGGACCAAGCACCCCTCCACATCCCAGGGGTTGGTAAAGCCTTCTACAGCCCAACCCTCTCTGTGCCAAAGACTTGGACACCTGCCTTTTGGCTCCAGAGGGCTCCTAAGCAAACTATGAACCTGCTGCTGCTCCCTGTCCTGCCTCCGTGTCACAACAAATGCCCTTTCTGATCCCTCAAGGATTAGAAGCAACACAGCCCTGTCTGATACTCAGCACCACGGACCTGCCATCTCCCAGGCTCCAGCTCTTCAGCATCAATCCCACCCTCTGTCCAGTCTATGCAGCGTTAAGGACATTCGCTAACCACATGGGCAGGTCTCCCCCCACTTTGCAGTGAGTTAAAGCCACATTTTCTCAACTCTGAGAAACACCTCCCCTTCCAACACCCGCTAGTGTCACGGCTTCCTCCTTGGCCCAGGTCTCTCCAAAGGCTACCCATCACCTCCCCATTCTCCACCACAAGCACGAGCCTCACCAAAGCTTTTTCTCTGCCACACTCTCTGCCCTTCCTTCAGCAGAGAGGGCTGCCCTGGCACCTCAGCCCAGTGTCACCAACGCTTCCACACAAACACATCGATGCTTCCTCCTCTCAGGTATTAAAGCCGGACACAGAGACCTGCCAGACCCTCCTCGCTCGCTGCTGGAAGGGTCCAAGGGTGATGGTGGGACACGGCTCCCCTCTCCCCCCCTGCCAGGGGGGATGCTGCGACCTCGGGGAGGGAGGGGACGTTAATTACCCAGCGAATAACCGAGCGCGGGTGGATCACGATTTGGTCCTGCTTTTACGAGCGGCGGAGAAAACTGCCGGGATGTTTACTTTAAAGACCCGGAGCGTCGCACCCTAATTAAACACCCTGCTGCTATTAACAGGCAAAACCACAGCTCTCCCGCCCGGCTCCCCCCACGGTGCAGCATCAAACCGAACAACCCAGCCGGACCCTACCCCCCCCCCATCTCCCAC